AAACAGAAGTATTTTTGATATGAAAATCAAACCAATCCTTGAATAAAGGAACATTAATGAAGGACATTTAATTAATCAAATATAAGTTTTAAAATCAATATGCAAATTAGTTAAAGCTGAGTGGTGTTAATACCTAGAAGTAGATAATTTATAATAAAGATATTGAGCATATTTTAAATACTATAAGTGTGTCACATCTCATTCTCGTGGGGGGAATGAGTAAACACCGTGAGTAAATTACTATATCATTTCTCAGTCGCGTCTCTGTCCTTGGACAGAGTGCGCTCAGGGGCGACTCCGTCAAAGGACAGAGTCGCAACTGAGGAAAATCATACTGAGAAGTGCCCAGCCCTGGGGAACAGCTGCCCGAGGCCGCGCCTTCTCAATGCACCAGAGAGAAGGATCGGTACACGGACCGAGGTCAGCGCAACCGACGGTTGCAGGGGCTAGGGAAATTTTTGTTCCTTGCCCGGGTGAACGCGCTCGGGCTCCCCACATTAAACCGACCTTGTGTCACAACCTGACCTCGTAGTGGGGGTCAAGTAAATACAGAGTAAATTACTATAAAGTAGAGTTGGATTTGTTTAATCCTAAAAGTCTCGGATAATTGTGCTGCAATTTCATATTTATTCATATAGTTTTCATGATCTTGGTTATACTTAATTGACTATGATGTTTCTCTAACTCTTCAAATGTTGAATGGATAACTAATTTCTATTTTCCCATCTTTGCACTATATTAATTTTATCTTATAAATTGTCCCCTGTTCTGTCACCCATGAAATAAAAATAATTGTTTGTATGGAAAATAAGGATCTACGTACATCAAATCGTCTTTAAATTAAGTGACAGCAGAAGAATTATTGTTGAACTTTTAAAAGGCAAGCTTAAACATTAATTCAGTATTTAAATGCAGCGATTAATTTTGAGTTTTTCTTTAGTTTATTGATGTCTGCTCCTCCCTAGCTATTATGATGATGGCCAAACCAAGAGTCGTTCACAGAGGCTAGCTTAAATGCCGACCAATATGGCGGCTTTTAAGCTAGTTTATAATAAAATATGCACTGTAATTTTGGATACAAAAGGAAAATAAAGGTTACTCGTCTTGAATCATGAAAGCAACGATAATGGCTAGTATAATGTATTAATATATATTTTAACCTTGCATAATCTGAACCTAACGAAAATCGTCTCCCGAACCTAACTTTTCTAGGGCTTTTAAATGAGCTATGAATCATTGAAATCGGGAGTTGTTTGGACATACACACAAACATATTTCAAATACATCCATGTAACTTTGAATATATAAATAGTTTTTCCATGAGGACTAAAAAGAAGAAAAAAACAAGTTACAAAAATAAGCACTGTCATTTCAAATTATATATATATATATATATATATATATATATATGAGTAGTTACTCCAGCACTCATGTTCGGTTCAATTAATCCAACTGTCAAGTCTATTTCAGGACAACAGGAACTGTCTCAACAGAACAGAATATTTGTTCATGTGCTGGTAGACATAATCCACACTATTTAAAAAGACAGGGTGTCTACACAAACATGGATCTCTCTCTCTCTCTCTCTCTATATATATATATATATATATTTATTTTAAGCATTTCACCCCAAGCAAGGCAGGATGCCACTAGTACGCAAGGAGTTACAGAGTAGGAGCAAGAGTAAAGAGGTGTGATGGAGGAAAGGATGAAGAGAAGGACAGGGAATAGATCAAGGCATCAGGAGATGTCAACTGACATTACATTTGAACAGTTGGAGATTATAGCGATCAGGAAAACAAGTAATAGGAGGGGAATTCCACAGATGGGAGGTGCGAGGCATGAAGCTATTGGAGTAGAAGAGATGACCACATTTAACCGTTTTGACAGTGAAAGTGTGGGATCGTGATGCCAGCCTAGTAGCACGCTTAAATTCATGCAGTCTGAGAACTAGTGAAAGTAGCTCATTGGAGCAGTTATTGTGAAAGTATTTGTAGAAAAGACAGAGAGAGGTGATGGCCTGTCTGTGAGAGAGTGACTGTAGACGAGATGCCAGATCAGGACTAACCTCATTGCTTATCTGTCTCTGGATCTTGTTGATGACCTTAAGGTGAACAGCGGGGGCACCAGACCATATATGGCAGCAGTATTCTATGCAAGTGTGAATTGTTGATTTATAGATTTGAAGGATGGACTCAGGTAAGAAAAACTGTTTGGCGTGACACAGGGAACCAACTTTCCTTGCAATAGATGAAGCTATTGATTCAATGTAATTATTCCATCTCAGGTCAGCAGTGTGAGACCAAACAGTTGCAAAGAGGTGCTCTCATGGAGTTAAGCGTTAGACATTCTAATGGGTGGCAGGGATGCTTCCCTGTGGTGAGTACTAGAGAGCAGTTTTGTTTAAGCGGCATTAAAGTTAACCCGGCAATTTCTGCCCCAGTCAACAACCGATTGGAGGTCCTTTTCGAGACTAATGGCCAGGTTAGTTTTGTCAGCAATACCAGACTTGCTATTGAGGAAGGAGTAAATAGTTGTATCATCAGCATAGATGCCTACTTGGGAACTGATGACATCAGGGAGATCGTTAAAGAAGATAAGGAACAGAGTAGGGCCCTGGATAGAGCCTTGGGGAACACCTGCGTTCATGGGAAAGGAACTATATACAAGTGGACATTGAAGTCAAAACTCAGATGTGCCAATCAGTATAAACATGAAACAGACTGTCACAACTGGATGTTGACTCCACTGTCCACTTTTATATTTATCATATTATTATTTTTATATTTGCAATATATATATATATATATATATATATATATATATATATATATATATATATGTGTGTGTTTGTGAATTTGGCAGCATATTTTCATTAAGTCAGGTTTCTTTAAATAATTTAGACATGTTCTAGCATATATTTATACTATGTCAAAAGTACTCGTAAATAAATACAATATGAACCAACGAGGTTTTTCTTATTGTCATTTTTAATTACTGGACTAACAAGAAAAAATTCTTATCTGTAAATATGAAAGGATCCTATCGAGAATAAATAGACAGAACATGTCTAAATTATTTACTGAAACCTGATTTAATATATATATATATATATATATATATATATATATATATATATATATATGTATGTATGTATGCACCACCAAAATAGCTTGCAACCCCACTGCACATGCTCCACACAGTAAAACTACTATGTAGAAGACACACAGAAATTCACCAAACAACATTCTTGATAATGGCTACAGAATGAGCCAAAAGCACTTGAAACAATATCATATATATTTGCAATCTCATATATTTTATTTAAATTACCTGCAAATGGTTGATAAGCCACAATCCTCCAACTTCAAGGAACAAGTTAGAGGCAGACATGTGGTTGTTGATTCCTTTGGGGAAACCCTTTGCCCTGGCTGTTAACTTCAGTAGAGAAAGCCATCTGGCTGCATCCATAGCTATGGAGCTCCACTCTACCCCAGTGCTGACCCAACAAGTTTCATCCACCCTTTGACAGGATTGGTTGCTAATCCTGCTGGGTATCTAGCCACCATCCTCACCAGAAAAGCCTGGTGGGGTAACCAGTTTAATCACCAATAATCTGATTATGTGGCAGATAACACCTGTTTACATGGTACTCATAGCCCTCAAAAAGTTACCTGACATAAATAATGTAAATAATAATAACTATCCGTCCAACAAATTGAGGCAGAAATTTATTAGATTTTTAGATGTTGCCTTTGCTTTTAGGACACCCTATATGTAGTAGATATATTAAATTGCTAATAGTGAATGTTTCCTTATAAGGAAACAGTTAATATTGCTATCATCATTATCATTATTGTTTTCTTTTGCTTGATCTCAATAACAAAGTTTTATTTAATCAGGTTTTTATCTTTGAAATTTAATCCATTTCAGGCCAGAGAGGAAATTGAGGCCAAGAATATCATTTTCTTTTTTTGTTTAAAATCAGTATCTCTTTTTGTCACACCTGAATTGACTTTTGATAAACAAGAAAATACTGTCAACTCGTAATATCAGCCTTTACCTTTAAGACCCACCGTACATAGTAGATATATTAAATGTGAGTATCTACAAAGTTTTAGAGAAAATGGAAACAAAAAGGAAACTTATACTTAATATCAGAAAGAGACAGTTGAAATTTCTAGGGCCCATACTGAGGAAAGATGGCTTAGCAAATCTGATACTCACATGACAGATTGAAGGCAAGAGTATAAAAAACAATGCATAAGTGAGGTTGAGGAAGTTGATGGTGGAACAAGGTTTTAACAAAAATAAAAATTTATTAAGAACTACAAATGACAGGATATTGTGGAGAGCCATGATTGCCAACCCTGTGAAGGTATATGGCATATGATTTTTGATAAAGAAGAAAATATTTTGCCATGTAATATTAGAATCATATTAATTGTAACCTTACTGGCAGTAATAATCAGAGAGAGAGAGAGAGAGAGAAAAAAAGGATAAAAGATGTTCAGTCGAGTGGTTATTGCATTGAATTGACAGCTTACAAGAAATTTAAAAAAATGATTTGCTGTTGTTGTTTGTTTATTTTATGAAAATGTATTCAACATCTGTCTTGACTTGGTGATTGTTGAACTGACCTCTTTTCTTGCTGTTTATATCAACCACAAAACCTATAAGTGACATTTTAATATTCTCCTTCTTTGAGAAAACAATTTATAGGATAATAACCGCTACAGTGGATACTTTCATTGACTGAATTGTTTTTTTAGGACTGCAGATTATTTATTTTAAATGTTTTCATTGTAAGAATTATTTTTGAGATAATAACAATGAGTCAATGAAACAAGTCCTACTAATTAACCCATACCTGGGGGAAAAGAGGTGGATTCATACTTTTCTCAAGGCTATTTGCATCTACATCAATATAACAGACCTGACTAGAATTGAAATTTGGCTCCCCCATTTCCAACTTCATTACTACCACCCACATGTCTTAGCTTACAGCAGTTGGTATTCACAAGCAATTACCCATCTAGGTACTGATCAGGCTCAAAATTGCTTAACTTTGGTGATTCTATGAGAACTAGTGTTTCAAGGTGATATGGCCATAAGCTACAGTGGATGAAAATAAAACTGCATATTAAATGTCAGGTGTATTTCTGAAGATTAAAATCCTTCTTCTTTTATATGTCATGACTCTTCAGGACCTAGACAATCATGGCTCTCCACAACTTCCTATCCTTTTAACTCTAATCAATATTTGTCCCTTAACTTTATCTCCTGGTCCCTGTTTTATCATTCATTTACATAAGATCATCAGGTCAGTTACTTTTATTTTTTTTAATCATTTCACCCCAAGCAAGGCAATAAAGCCATTAAGATGCAAGGGGATTACTGAGTATGAAAACAATATGAGAAAAAAAAAAAAACTTGCTGTTTCTCTCTGAACCTTACCTCTCAGGATGTCCTGTCAGTGTCAAATCCTCCAAGCCTTCTTTCCTCATTATGTGTCTGAAAAATTTCAAATGCTTCTTTCTGATTCTAAACACAAGTATACTTTTCATTCCCATTTTATTTTAAACTTTGTTGTTTCTCACATATTCTGTCCATGGTATTCCCAGCATCCTTCTGTAGAATTATCTTTTAGTTGCTTCAAGTCTCTTCTTCATCTGTGAGGAATTTGTCCAGCATTTAATTCCATGTAGGGGGACATTACATTTTTAAAAATCTATCCTACAATTTTTACCTTTATTAATTACTCAAAGAGGATAATCCATGAGAAAAGTGGATTTGTTATTTAATCTTTGTATTGTCATGTTACATCATATGTACTGTAACCCATGAAGGTCATTGGGGCACCAGTGGTGTGTCTAGGGAAAGACAGCCTGATGGAGCCCATCTCTCTTCAGGCTAATTTTGAATTGTCTTCCTTTTCCTAAATGGGTTAACACTAGACAAGAGGGCCCAGTCAGCCTTGTTATTTAACCTATAGCTGGAGGGGGAAGAGCAAGATTCATGAAATGTGAAACTAAGAAATGACTTTTTAAATTTTAGTTGTCAGTGAACAAGTTGAATATGTCATTATTTATGTGTATCAGACTTTGTTTTCATTAATGCCACTCAGGCATATTAAGAGCAATAGCGATTAATTTGCAAAATTAGTTGTATAAAAGAAAAGTAAAATAAAGTCCAATTTAATGTCCATTGATGAAAAGCAGAAAAGAAATATTGTGGAAAAACTGTTTCTGTAAATTTTGTTGCTTTAAATTGCAAACATCCATTCACTCATTTTATATACCATATCGTTTCAAGTTATGGATGATCATGGCTCTCCCCCGCTTCCTGTCTTTTGCTGCTCTAATTAACTTTTGAATTTTTCCATACCTTATTGTCCTTGTTCTACCATCCATTCACTTATTTTATACACCATATCATTTTAAGATGTAGATGATCATGGCTCTCCACTACTTCCAGTACTTTCTTACTCTAAGAAATTTATGAATATTTATCATTTCTCTTTGTTCTTGTTCTGCCATCCATTCACTTCTTTTATATACCACATCTTTTCAGAACACAGATGATCATGGCTCTCCACAACGTCCTGTCTTTTGTTGCTCTAAGTAACTTTATACTCTTTACCATTACTTATTGTTTCACTTCTACCATCCATTCACTTATTTTATATATCACATCCTTTCAGGATGTGGATGTTCATTGCCTTCCACCACTTCCCGTCTTTTGTTGTTCTAACTTTTGACTATTTACCATTCCCTTGTTCTTGTCCTGTCAACCATAACCTTTCAGAACGTGGATGCTCATGGCTCTCCACCACTTCCTGTCTTATATAGTTCTAACCTCTGATTCTTTATCATTCCTCCTTGTTCCTGAGCTTGAGGAAGTTGATAGCAGAACAAGGGTTTGCAAAGATAACAAAAAGATAAAAATTCATTAAGAACTACAAATGACAGGATATTGTGGAGAGCCATGATTGCCAATATCCCAAGGAAACATGGTGCATAGAAGATTACTTTTGATAGACAAGAAAATACTGTAATCTTGTAATATCAGCATGATATTAATTTTAACTTTATCAATAGTACTAAACAGAGAGAAGCAGTATAAAAGACGGTCAAGTGTTTATTACATTGAACTGTGGACTTTTTTAATTACTGAGTAAAATGCAAAAGTGATTGATAAAGTATGTCACAAAGAACCTTTGGAACTTCCAGGTAACCTTGGCCTATCTGGGAAGGATATTCGAATAATCCAAAATCTATACTGACAGCAAACTTCCAGCATAAAGATAGAAAATGAATTCAGTAAATACATAAAAGTAGAAAGGGGCATAAGACAAGGATGCATCATCTTACCAGACTTATTTAACCTATACAATGATGCAATCCTACCAGGATTCATTATTGATGGCCACAATCTTAACATTAAAAGATATGCAGATGACAGTGTCGATAGCAAACATAGAAAGGAAACTACAAGAAATTTTATTGAAGTTAGTAAAGGAAAGCAACTAGCACTATTGTCTGGACTGTTGATTAGTCATATGGCCATTGTCTGCAAGGAAGCATACAAAAATTGTAATGCTGCACAAACACAATGGCAAGCCTTACCAGTGAGCAAATTTGTCATGGAAATAGCAGTAGAGTAGTGAGTGGTTAGCAATGTTCTGTCTGTGGGAAAGAGGTTGAAGGGTAAAAAAAAAAGTAATTAATCACCCACAGGGCAGCATAAAAGCTTTTAAACTCTGTCAAGGTTGGAAAGTGTGGGTCAGGCAACACCAGCCCAAACATGGCAGCAATACTCCATTATTTAGTTGATTGTGACTCTTGAAGAGACAGAACATAGCAGACAGAATCAGGTACTTTCAAGAATGGTACAAGGAACCAGTCATTTTTTTAGCTTATTTAGCAACAGATTGTATATATTAGTTCTACTTTAATGAGCTTGAGTCTCAGGAGATGTTCTGCTTGCTTACAGCCACATTATGTTAAAACACTGGTTCTTGTACAATCAATGAAGTTAAGCAATGTCAAGCCTGGTCAGAAACTAGATGAGTGACCACTTGGGAATACCAAGTGCTGTAAACTTGAATGTGTGGGTGGTGTAATGCATAATGGCTCAGAATTGGAAATCGAAGAACCGAATTCCAATTCTAGTTTGGTTCATTACATTCACTTACACACAAATACCCATGCAGAAGGTATGAATTCACTGCTTCTACCCCCAGCTATGGGTTAATTAGCAGGATTTGTATCAGTAAATCATTATTATCTCCAAAAATTCTTACAATCTAAAAATATTTTCTGGCTTTAAATAACCTTCAAAAGGTTGATAATCCATAAAAAATCAATGCTGATCTATTTAAATCATTATTCATTTTTGACAATTTGTTTCTTTCATCTTATTTTTTTCTTTATTTACACCTAGTAGTAGTAGTAGATATAATAGTCTTAACTTGACAGAGTTTTTTTTTCCAATTAAACATTATTATTAGTATCTGAATAGCCTCTTTTTTTTTTTTTTAATTAATTTTTCTTACCTACCTCACAACTCTCAAGACAATTTACAAAGCATGTATTAGAAAAACCTTGTAAAAGCTTTTTTTAATTTCTGATCTCTGGTTCACAGAACTATCTTATCTGACAAGCCAGGAGTAGATTCTGTTGTTTGTTTTACAGCATGTCAACCCGTTTAGTCATTTAATGATGAAATTTAGTGTTTTTCTAAAGAAAACCTTGCATGTAAACAGTCATTTTTTATTTTCAGTAGTAAGGTTGTTAGAGATATTTTTTTTTTTATTTAATTTTTTTTTATTTAATTTTGAAATCGGTCAAGAAACAGGATGAGGAAAAAAGAAATTATAATGGTTTCCATTTAAGCTAATAAAGGGTGTTCCAATAACAATAAGTTTAAGCATCTAATAATTTTTTCTTTTTTTTTCAGATTTAACAAATTAAGTTTTTGGCAATTTTAACCATGGAAAAATTAGCAATCAAACAATGTGTTAGTTATCGAAGCTTATTACAAAAATTGATATTCAAACAGAAATGCATTACCATCCTGGGTCAGGTTGGACCTGGGAACAACATCAATTAAGAGCTACTTCCATGCTCCTCAAAACCTACCAATCAGAGGCCTTGCTGCCAGATGTAGTTTATCATCATACCCAGGACAGGAAAGTAGGAAAAGAGTAGGAAAAGGCCATTGCAACAAATGTCAACCTTGACTGATACCTTTATTTTTTAACTAAATGTTAATTCTATACAAGACCCAAGAGCCACTCAAGGTAGAGGGTTACTAAATGAGGTGGTTGTAGGGACATAAGAGGGGGAAATAAGTGCAGATTGGGAGGATATGTAGAATAGACAACAGTCTTACGAAATAACTTCTGATCCAATTATTAAACAATTACCATGCATTTTAGGTCCAGTATCTTAATAGAGAAACAAACAAGCATTAAGAGTAAATCAGACATTCAAATCAACATTTTTTCATGTTCTATGTCTTGATTTCAAATGTTTAACAGATTCTTGTCTCATTTTTGTGTCCCCTACTATTATATCAGCTTAAATGAGGTGGGACTGAAGTTGGACAGGCGGGGTAATGGATAGCGGACTGGAACAAGGAATCAGTAATCCACTCAAGTTTTCTTACATTAGCTTTTGTGCCAATACTTGCTGCGGGTTAAATAATAAGGCAGACTCTAACACTTTTGCCTCAGCCCCCATCAACCTCCAGCGTCTTACTCTTGGGGTTGAGGTGTCTATTCGGTCCTAACTGAACTTAAGGGAGTGGCCATAGGTCCCCTGAGCATCCATAGATTATTTGACTGGTCCGCTGGTTTAATCCTGCTTCCTACTCACGTGATTTGTTTGATCCAGAAAGCAGAAATGTTGTCCGTCTATTCACGGTCAACTGAAGATGTAGACATGGCTGGGGAGTCTGCGCTAAGAAATTTAGAATGCAGCAAAAAAAAAATTAATATCTGCAGAAAGCCGGACAAACATCAATTCAATGGTTGAATTGTTAATGTCTTTTATATAGCAGAAAAGAATAGTAGAGAAGAGAAACGGGTGACAGAAAATAAAAGTAAAAA